GCAGTTTACTAAAAGCATGTCAGTCAGCAGAGCAGGGAAAAATCCCCAAACCCTGACTCCCAGGCACATCCTGGAGAAACTATACTGCATCTCATTTCAATGTCACCCACCTCCTCAACATAAGTAGTAAGATACACCACCTCCTCCCATTCCTAACCTAGGGACTGAATCAATCATCAAAAGTGCTAATGTTTAAATCCATTAATAAGTGGCCAGAAACAATGACACAATGTCAAACAGCTGACCCTGCCCCAACAGGTAACTCATTCTAACAAATATTGAACTGCCCGACACCTGAGCCTTCAAATGTTGCAGGAAAACACTAAGTACAGAATGCATTTCACAAGAGTTTGGCTTAAAGAGTAAGGGACAGTTAGAAGAACTTTAACCAGCCCTTGCTTAAAGACCAGCATTTGTTTGGCTTCACCTCAAAGGTTTTGTAAACTCACCTTCTGACTAGATGTTGTCACTCTGCCAAAACTTGAGCTTGTCAGAGGTCAAACAGAGGAACAGCTTAACCTCAACTTTTTGAAACAGGAGTCAGAACTGTGTGAGAAAGCAATATAAATACAGCTTTGGCTTCTCCAAAATAGGTCTTCTGAAACATGCCACTAACTTCATGTAAGGTTGCCTGGAAGTGCTCGACCTTTTTTGTGAAGGGAAGACAAGAGATGCGTGTGGGTGTGTGCACGCTCCTAGTTTTTTTAATCAGAAATGTAAGAAGTTGCTAAAACTGATATTATAGTTGTCGGTGGAAGTAAGGGGACAAACCTGTGGAAGATCTTTCTGAAGGAGTGGCTACAATACTTAGGAGAAAACATCACTTCATTACCTTAGCTTTATCCAAGTATCTGTGCTTCCTCCTTTGATATCCTTAACTTGCCAACAGCTTCCTTCCTTCTGATGCAAATCTTGGGCAACAGCGAAGTCTTTGTTAACAAAGTTTCCCCCTCTCCCCCAATTCCCACACCAACATTGTTTTTAGTTTTCATCTCTGCAGAGTTTCTAGAAAAAGCAGTATTTACAGTATAATAAATATGGGTTAGACCGGGGGGGGGGGAGCACTCTCCCACTCACAAAGTCAAGTTTAGGTGTCACTTGCAATAACTGCATGAAAACAATTTCCATGTTTGGAGCAAAAGTTTATCCTTAACAGCAGTAAGAACTGAAGTCATCTTCACTGGGCATTCTGGACATACCCTGTTTGCCATCCCCATCGGCATCTACTCTCTGCCACTGCGTGAAACAAGACTATCGTGCCATGACACTGAGCCTAGACCCACCAGGACAACTACTAGTTGAACAACAACTGATTCCTAGGGACAATAAACAACAGGAATGGGAGTGAAGGTTACAGGCTAATAACCAGTATGCCAAGGGAGGGCACCAAGCACAGAAATGTGGTTAGTGCCCACTGCCCCATGAAGGCATCTAAGGAGTCAAAGGATGTTGCCCAGTGAAATTCTGCTTGAAGACTCCATGCAGGACTTGCCAGCCTATATCCCTGGTGGGTCATGGGATTGAGGTGCACCAGGGCTCCTCACCCTCAAAAGACCCTCACCAGGTTGTGTCTAGACAAAATGTGAGGGCAAGGTGGTGAATGGTATGGAGTATGAGTATATGAAGGTGATGAGGATGAACAGGTTTGATGTCCCCTAGGCTGCTCAGAGGGGGTAGCAGAGAATGCCAGGGGGGCTGCTAAGGCAGGAGTCCCACAAAAAGCTCCAGAGCGCTGTGGGATGTGGCAGCCAGAGACTGCCCTCTCACCAGACCTGTTGGGCATGGGCAAGGAAGGTTGGTGGCAGGATAGCCTTGCCCTTCTGAAGCAAGCAGCTTGGAGAACATGGCATGGGCAGCTCCCTGCTCTGGGCCGCTGCAAAGGAATCTGCCCATCCCTGCCTGACAAAGTCCAGGGGGTCTCTGATACAAGTAACGTGAACCAGGATTATATTCCAGCACACGCAGGGGACCCCTGTTACCTGCACCACCAGCTGTGTTTTTTTCAGCTGGGAGGTCTCTGCATCTACAGATCTAAGACAAGAGACCAACTTCCAGAGCTGAGGGAGGTGCTGGCAGAAATCTGGCAGTTTGCCCAAGTCTTGTACAGGGAAACCTCTCAGATTAAAGAGCTGCTGCTTGTACATGAACCCTCAGAAGCAGCAGAAGGCAAGTACCGCACCTCTTAAAACTACAGACACCCTAGGAGCCTCTGCAAAGCCTTGAGAGAGGTCCTTTCAAGGGTGCTGTAGGGTGCCACACAATGCTAAGCACTGTTAAATGTACAAATATGGTTCACAAGGTAAACCCAGAGGACTCAAATAAGAACCCATAGAGTCAAAAACACTGGGGTCTTCCTCAGTTCTTTGCAACAGAAAAATTGCTCTGTTATATTTCTGTCATCAAAAAACAAGTGAAAACTAAGAGCTGGCATTTTCCCAGGAGTGCATCAAGTCTGCCAAGGGGTACTTTGAGTCTAAAAAAAAGGTTGAGAATCACTGATCTATGGTTGGACCCAGGAAATGGCAATCCTTATGTCCTCCTGGATTTACAGTTAACACTAATTAACCTTTTCATACCACCCAAGAACTACCATTTCAGCAGATATCACTGCAGTGTCTGACACTTGGCTCACACTCCAATGATTTTCTTCTGTTCAAAGGCCAGAAACATTTAAACAAAAGCTTAGATTCAAGAGCAAAAGTAAACAGCTGACCATTCATCCACCCGATTTGACTCCCAACAAATAAGTTTCTACCATCTTCTTACTAGCACATGAGATTCACCCACCAGCACAATCTACTGAAGAGGATTTTCTTTCATTCACGAAATGCAGGGTTTCCAACTGTTTAAATTATTGCCATTACAGAAGGAGTCAGCTACTGTACACTGCAAATGAGACTATGTTGCAACAAACTAGTGTGTAATCTCAGTTCTTACATGGGCTTTTTACTTTAAAGCATCACAACACAAATCTCATTCTCCCAGTTTCTTAACTTGTAAATTGAGGAAAGAGAAGGAAAATGGGGGGAGAAATTAGGCAACTTTCTCAAGCTGAAAACCATTAAAAATGGTCACCCTACATAACGGCCAGCAACCAGCTGTGAGTAAATAAGGAGGAAAAGGCTCTAAGGCCTCCTACAGACATTATGTTCATGACAATTAACATGTAAATCACATCATAAATAGTAAACCTGCCATACAGTCAGGCAATTAATGGTGCAACCAAACAAGAAACTAGTCACAAAAATATTTCACATGGGGACATTGGCAGGCCGCACGCAAGGCTGAATCACAGCTGTCAGCCTGCTGATGCACAGAGATCCCATCAGCTGAGAACTCCCCATGCAAGTTGAAAGGGTGCAATGGGAAGCACAACATCAGGGCGAGCCCCAGTACTGCATTTCCTGGAGCACCCTGGCATCAGGGACAGAGTCCTCGATGGTGGGCTCCTCACCCACCTGTTGCAAGATTGGGATATGACAAATTTTATTCTGGATCCAAAAAAATCATGAGTCCTGTCATGCACATGGCATGGCAGGATGCCTGATTCTGGGGATGTGGGATAAAGTTTGCCATATCCTAATTGCACAGTACAAATCTAGGAGTACGTGCCCGTTCATTTAAATAAGACGAGTCTATGAAAAGCAGCTTTGAAAGACCTAAGCAAGTAGCTGATGACCTCAGGGTCAAATGGGAGTCACGGCATTTTACCGAAATCAGCAGGAGTTGCACACACCCACCTTCCTGCATCTGAAGTAAAGTATACAACATATTAATATATCTTCATATTACAGCTCCTGCCATTAAGGCACTCAACAGGCAATTTAACCTCCAAATACAGTATATTTACTTCATCTTACAGATAGGGAAACAGGCTAATTGTCACCTGATTTTCAGAAGTGCTGTCTAATGGTCAGCAATGAACTGAACTGCAGTCCACGGAAGCTGCAGGTGCTGAGCACCTGTGAAAACCATGTCGGTGCGACCCTTTGCTGGGTGACGGAGTACAGTAGGGTACCCTCACACTTGCACAGGTTTAACCAACCAGGGTGTATAGGCACAGAACAGCTAGACTTCTTTTGAAGGGGAAAATAAAATCCCCTCAATAGCAGACTCTCTCATCAATACACACGATAACACAGGCAGAATACCAATATGTTAGGTCTGATTAGTGATACAGCCTGGCGTCAGATTCATAAGAGTCCAGTTCATGCTTAGAGAATTCAAGTACATTTGGATTAGAAATACCAACTTATAAATACCAGAAAGTGTTCAACGCCAAGCTAATGAAGTGGTGGTCAGAAGCTGGGTTTACCCAGCTGTGCTGCACAGTCCTCCTTTCACGCCAGGATGCTGCTGTCTACCCACACACCCGGCACCCATCCACCTACGGCATTCTCTTGCCTAGCCCTCTTCTTAACAACGTGTGGTGATGTAGGATTACTTTGCTGGCTGTCATTTTAAGCCATCTGGCGCACAAACACACAGCATGCCGCTCACAACATCCTCTTCCTTTGAGATGCTAACAAAGATTTCTCTTCTCATCAGTGCAAAGGTATTTTCTTTTCACTAGCTGAAACAGCTCCTAGACAAATGGGACGACCTGTGTGCTAGTTCCAAAAAAAAAAAATTTTTTTTTAAATCTGAGGGTATTTTGTAATGCATACAACACACATCCTGGGAGTCATCCACCAATCACCCCTTGCAGACACAGCTATAATTAAAGACACATTGAACAGTGGCCTTTGATTCAGCCTCTCCTCCATTAAACAAGCAAGCGTTCATATCTAAATACACTAGTTTTCAACAAGACTCCAGTGCTCTGTACAACACTTATCAGACATATGCTAAAAAGCCTGCAAGGTCAACCCCATGGAAGTAAATTTCCCAATACATTTATAAAGGTTTAAAAGCTACCTACTTACTCCTTTGCAAATTAGAGCCCTAAAAGAAAAGGATGAATACAAAACAATTAGTAGCGGGGCAAAAAAAGCGCTCACCTTTCTCCAGCAGAGCCAACACCACAAAAACAGGCAAGGTTACGTGGTGAAAGCATATTTACTACTGCAGCTAGGTCAAATCCAGCTGGTCTCTTCAGTCCCAACAAACAATAAAACACTGAGTCTGACACTGAACACTTTGCTTCTGAGTACTGCTTATAAGTCCCAAGGAGGCTAGTAACAAGCACACGTCTCTCTCTGACGACAGGCTAATTTGGATGAGATCTTAGGAAATGAATGCTGCAAAACTATTTCTGATCCGGCTGCATCTCCTGCCCCAGAGAGAGCACTGTGAATTTTTTTTTAAACTAATGCATGATCCATATGTTTGGCAGCACAAGCAGTGGTAAGACTTTGTGCTGCTGATTACTGCAGAAGTGTAAACGCTAACTACATCTAGGACAGTGATTCTCAGCCAGGGGGTAGGAGCACCCAAGTGTACCCCAAGATACTCTGAAGAATGCCCCAAAGTGAAAGTAGATAAGCCAGCTATGAGGAGATAAAACAGATAAGCACCAACCCAGGCTCAGTCCCTGCCTGGCTGTTCAAGCACCCCTATTGCCCAGCCCCTCTGCAAAGAGGTATGCACTGTAATAAATATCATAAGTTAATTTTTGAAATGGGGCACCACTCAGTTCACGTAAGTTATGGAGGGGTGCCTTGAATCTAAAAAGGTTGAGAACCACCAGTCTAGGATATTACTGAAGTATCCATCATCACAGCATCTACCCAACATGGATTGTAACGGGAGCATTAGGGGACTGTTAAAGCTGTACAAATATTTCCATTCTGATCGCTCATTTGCTCCTTGCTTTTCAAATCAGTTGAACTTGTAAACTTCCAGTGTTCTGGCTGAAATTTTTTAGACTTTTCTTCTTCTCAATTCTCTGTTTGTTAATTGAGCAAAAGTGGTTTGGCTTGTTTTTCCTAAAGCTAGTACAAGTGAAAACACATTTTCCCCTCGTTATAAGAAAATCCTGAGACTTCTTCTTTTGAATAATTCTTTGGACAAAAAAGCTGGGAAATAGCACTTACATTTGGCAGCCAAATATACCTCTGTGAGCAAAAGTACTTTTGAGTGGGCCACTAAAAATTAGGTTTGATTTCACTGAGCTTGTCTGTATTGAGCATGCACAGCATACTACGCACACATTCCTGGCTGAACTCATGTGGCAGGTTGGACTAAGGTCCAATCCTGCAATAAGATCCATGAAGACAAAATGTTGCATAGAATTCACCGCAGGATTTCACTTTCATTTGTGCAGGAGAAAATACTTCTAAAGCATTTCTGGGCTCAGACGAAAGAACTTTACAGGACACCTAGGTTGCCTGCATGTAAGGGTCAGAAGCATTAGTTAGGCAAGGCTGCTTCAACAGGACTGACAAATCCCATCATTCCCAAAGGTCACAGCTGTCCTCATGGAGCCAGCATGAAGGAGACCATCTGTTTCCATCTTGCCAACCAGAGCTAGAATTCACAGCCTATCAGCTTATTTTCCCCACACCAGAAGAGGTTGAGACTTGAAGCACAAAGTTCCTTTGTGCACTTTCTTCTTGTTCTAATGCTTTTTTTCCTTTATCATCTGGAAAAATTACATCTAAATACATTAGCAGAGTTAAGTCTTCACAGTTAGGCAGGAAACTATAGGCCAGTTAATCTTACCTCAGTCCTGGGTAAGCTTTTTGAGAGAATTATCCTGACGCATGTCTGCGAGGGGCCAGCAGGGGAGATTATGCTCAGGGGCAACCAACACGGGTTCATTAGAGGCAGGTCCTGTCAGACCAACCTGGTGGCCTTCTATGACCAGACCACAAAATCCTTAGACGCAGGGGTAGCAGTGGATATGGTCTTTCTGGACTTCAGGAAGGCCTTCGACACTGACTCTCACCCCATTCTCATTAAAAAACTTGGAGACTGCGGCATCAATACCCACACAGTCAAATGGGTCACTAGTTGGTTGGAGGGCTGCACCCAGAGAGTGGTGGTGGACGGGTCATTTTCAACCTGGAGGGATGTTCAAATTTGCTGATGACACTAAGATGTGGGGGGATATGGGCATGCTAGAAGGAAGG